TTTTTACAAATCTTTTCACATCGGATATGGGAGTTGCTGATGTGGAGGTTTTTAGTGCTGTCCAAGCGCGAGTGTCCTCACGTTCTTATCATAATCTGCTTCTCCCGTATTCTAGGGATGAGATCGAAGTAGCTCTTAACTCTATTGGCCCGACAAAAGCTCCAGGTCCAGATGGTATGCCTGCACTCTTCTATCAGAAATATTGGAGTATTGTGGGTCCGGAGGTTAGTGATTTGTGTCTGAGAGTTTTAAATGGTAGCGATGGTGTTAACGATTTCAATCATACGTTGGTGGCTTTGATTCCGAAAGTTCATTCTCCCACCCGTGTTTCGGAATATCGTCCTATCAGTTTATGCAATGTCCTCTACAAGATTATCTCCAAAACTCTTGCCAATAGACTGAAGAAGGTGTTACCTGAGGTTATTTCTGAGTTCCAGAGTGCGTTTATTCCCAACCGTATGATTTTGGATAATGTCTTAGCAGCTTTTGAAACGGTCCATTGTCTGAAGAGAAGGGGAAAAACAGGCAAAAAGAAATTAATTTTGAAGCTTGATATGGCCAAGGCATATGACAGAGTTGAATGGCAATTTTTGGAGCAGATGTTACGGACTATGGGTTTCCCAATTCGGTTTATTCAATTAATTATGGGTTGCGTGACTACTGTTTCTTATTCGTTGTTAATTCAGGGGCGGCCATTTGGGCGTATTATCCCTTCTCGAGGCTTACGGCAAGGGGATCCTATATCACCGTATCTTTTCCTTATTGTGGCTGAAGCCTTCTCTGCTCTCCTCCAGCAGGCTGAGAGGGATTCTAGATTACATGGTGTCTCCATTGCCCCTTCTGCTCCTTCTATTAACCATCTCTTTTTTGCTGACGACAGCCTTCTGTTTTGTAATGCTGGGACAACTGAGGCCCTAGAGCTTAAACGTATTTTTGGAGTGTATGAGTTGGCTTCTGGTCAAAAGGTCAACCTTGGAAAATCCGCTCTTTGCTTTAGCCCTTCCACCCCAAGGGTGTTGCAGGACGACATTCGTCAGCTGTTGAACGTGACTCTTGTCCCTTGTCATGAGCGGTATTTGGGCCTCCCTACTATCGTCGGTAAGGATAAGAAAAAACTGTTCCGTACGGTTAAGGATCGAGTTTGGAATAAAGTTAATGGTTGGCAAGGTAAGCTTCTGTCTAAGGCCGGGAAAGAAGTGCTCATCAAATCAGTATGTCAGGCAATTCCATCATATTCTATGAGTGTGTTTCGATTACCTGTCGGGTTATGCCGCGAGATTGAGAGTATCATTGCCAAATTCTGGTGGTCTAAAAATGATGGTAGAGGTATTCATTGGAAAAAGTGGAGTTTTATGTGCCAACACAAGTCTGATGGGGGGCTAGGCTTTAGGGAATTGACAAGTTTTAATCAAGCTCTTCTATGTAAACAAGGATGGCGGCTGCTGGAATTTCCTCACTCACTGATTGCCCGGATGCTTAAGGCTCGTTATTTTCCAAATTCTGATTTTTTGGCAGCTTCGAGTGGGTCCCTTCCATCGTTTACTTGGCAGTCGTTACTATGGGGGCGGGATCTGCTCCGGTTGGGCCTAAGGTGGCGCATTGGTGATGGCCGGTTGGTTAATATCTATGGTGACCCATGGGTGCCTTATGATCGTTTTTTCACTATCCAGTCGATACCTACTCTTCCAGCTACCTCCCGAGTTTGTGATCTTTTTACCGCTAGTGGCGGGTGGGATGTTGGGAAGGTTTTTGCTACTTTCTCATTTCCAGAAGCTGAAGCTATTTTATCTATTCCCTTAATGGGTGATAATCTGGATCGGAGAATCTGGAACTTTACTAAAAATGGAAGGTACTCGGTTAAGAGTGGGTACTGGGCTGCTCTAGAATACAAGAGGCTGGAGGAGCTGTCCGCAGGGACCGTCGCTGGCCCTTCCTCTTCTTCGTTGAAGAGTTGGAAGCACCTATGGAAGCTGAAAGTGCCACAAAAAATCCTTCATCTGTTATGGCGTGTGGCTCAAGATATCCTCCCTTCCAAGGAGGTCTTATTCCGGCGTCGGATTACACAGGGGGAGGTCTGTTGTCGCTGTTTTGCTCCGAGAGAAACTACGTTGCATGCGTTGGTTGGATGTGTTGTTTGTCTGCAGGTGTGGGAGGCTTTAGATTTTCCCAGGGATTTCCTTCTTCCTACTGTAGCTGACGTTGGAACCTGGATGGATGCAGCTTGGTCTATTATTCCCCCTGATAAGCAGTCCCTCTTTGCATTTACTGTGTGGGTGTTGTGGAACGAACGTAATGGGGTGCTGTTTGGCTCTCAACCCACCCCTTCCGGAGTTTTGGTACAACGAGCGAAGGACTATGATGCTGAATTTAAACGATATTCTGCTGCCAATCATAGGAGTTTATCCTCGCTGGTTCGTGATATTAAATGGAGGCCTCCTACGGGTAATTGTTTCAAGTTGAACGTGGATGGGGCCACTGACATGGAGACGGGAGCTAGGGGAGCTGGTGCCATCGTCCGTGACTCTCATGGAAATCTGGTTGGGGCTCTAGCTATGCGGGCACCAAGTCGGATCTCTGTACTAGCAACAGAGCTGTATGCTCTTAAAGTTGGAATCTCTTTTGCGTTGGATGTGTCTCTACTGCCTCTGGAGATTGAATCTGATTCCTTGCAGGCAGTTTCTATGGTCAACAGTGAGGAGGAATGCCTTGCTGCTGAGGGAGGTCTGGTGGATGGAGTGCGACGCCTTCTGGTCAGGTCCGCGTCTACTGCTGTTCGACATGTTCCTCGCCAAGCGAACAAGGCTGCCCATCGCATTGCCCGCTTCAGTCTGCGCGATCAAAGTTTGTCGATCTGGTTGGATGTGGGTCCTTTGTGGCTTATGGATGCTGTTTATGATGATTGGCACGAGCCTACTGTCGTTTGATTTAATATCTTCATGTGTAATCGGGCATATGTGGCACTCTTTTTCCTCCCCTGAAGTTTTTCCCATCGGGTTTTCTTTAGGGAGGTTTTAATGAGGCCATACTACCCATGCCGACATTCCTTTGTCATGTTGATTAATTGAATGAAGTCTTTCCTTTCAAAAAAAAGAAAGATATGTTGCATGTGCTTCCATGGGTTCCAGAGACCTTTCAGTTGTGTGTGAGAGAGAGAGAGAGAGAGAGAGAGAGAGAGAGGCAGTGCATGGTAAGGGGTTGGGTCGGGTGTAGGGCTGGAATCAGGGGATTCCAATTCCATTCCAAAAAAAAAATTCGGAATGAAAATTCTTTTCCAATTCCATTTCAAAAAAATTCGGAATTTCGACATCCATTCCAATTCGGAAAACTCGGAATTTTTGGAATTATAGGAAAATTTCGGAACTTACATATTTTGGAATATTTTTGGAAAGTTTTGAAAACTCATTGAAAATTTTAAACATGCCTGATGATTCATAATGTTAAAATTTTCCCAAAATTGAAAAATCATACGGAAAAACTCAAAAAACTATTATATAATATCACTTATATGTTGTTATCCATTACGAAATAGTTCATCTAGGTCTATTTGATCATCAAGTCATATGAATTCAATATCTAGTAGTTCACATACCATGAGCAGAGCTTTGAGGTGAGTCATGGTTAGAGGCGTCTTGGAATCTCCTCCCTCCTCTTTCAATTTCAACAAAAAAGTCAAAAAACCTTGACTCTCTTTCGCGCCTTCCTCCTCCATCTTCAGCCGTCGATCAATCATCTGCTCAAATATCCCATCAAACCTCCGGACCAGCCCCTCCATCTGCTTCTTTATACCCTGCAAATCGAACTGACCCAAACCCGGAAAAAAATCCGAAACATTTGGCCGACCTATGAGCCCTGTTATCTCCGACACCACTTTCCGAAACTCCGCCCCGAGCCCGGCCCTCTCCTCCCCGTCCTCCGCCGCGATGCAGCCGCCACATATCATGTTAGAGATGACGTTAAGCGACGTCAGGAAGATCTGCTCGCCCACGTTTACGGGCGACCCGGCCCGACCGTACAAGTACCTGACCGTCTTTCGGACCTGGTTTTGGCGGATCGATTGGAACGAGTCCAGCGCGGCGCCGCCGAGCATCTTCAGGATGGAGACCTTTCTCAGCATCCGCCACTCCGGCCCGTGCGGGGTCCACACGACGTCGGCCCCTCCGTAGAAGGCGATCCGGGCAGCTACGGGGACGTCACGGTTGGCGAAGGTAACGTCACGGTCTTTGAGGACCTCGCGGGCGGAGGAAGGGGAGTTGATGACGACGCAGGTCATGGCGCCGAGGCGGAGCTTGAAGATTGGGCCATAGGTGTGGGCCAGGCGGGCGAAGTAGGAGTGGAGTTCTGGGTCGAGAGAGAGAAGGTTACCGAGTAAGGGCATGCCCAATGGGCCTGGGGGCAAAGGTGGGATTTTGTTACGGGACTTTTTCATGCACAGCCATGCACACCAGGTGCTTGCGAAAATGGCTGAGAGAGTGTAGAGAAGAAGCCAACTCTCATCATTTCTGGTACTAGTTTTGAACCAATTCATGGTAAGCTTCAAATTGGGATTTGAGTTTTGTGTGAAGAAATAAAGGGAGAAGGGGAAGGACTCAGTGTGTTGCTAGTGAATATCCAGCGTACGATTAACTCAGTGGGGGCTACCAATGCGGTGGTTTTAATTTAGACCACATATTTTTGCATGCAAGTTGAACCTAAAGCACGGTTGCAAATTGCAATGCAATCAACTACCTCTTTATTTAGTAATAATTTTTTGTTGATTAAAAGAAAACCACATGATTTAAGGAAATTGGCAAGATAGTGATTAACTTTTCCATTAATCCTTGCTCAATTATTTTATATATTTGTCGTGGCATCATTTTTCCTATTTTATGTATCTGTAGCCCCTTATTTTGATGGGACTTTCCCACATACTTGGTGTTGAAGAATACACGAGTCCCACATTGGAAACTTAACAAAATAGAAAGTCTCATATAATAAATGGTTCAACTCCTAATAACACCGAGACTTTTTGTGATAAAACCTCACACCTATTGGGCTTTGTAGGTGGTTAAGTTGAGGACAATATCGGTGTTGTTGGTAGTGTTGGAAAAACAACAATCAGTGACTAATTAAAACAATTATATAAATAGAATTTATAATAAACTGTAATACAGAATACAATATATAAACAATAAATGAAACTGACTTGAACTCGAGATAGAGGCTTGCAGATTTGATACAATGTCCTAAAGACAGTAATTTCACCCCTTCTAGGTGCTTGAAGTTCTACAGGTGACTGCCTCCCAGAATTCAACTATCTGTATTCTAAGCCCTAGCACTCGGACTTAGAATCTGGCGAATGTTGTTTGTTTTCCTCTCAGACAAGATGAGATGCTTGTGAATGCTTTTTCTATATTGAACGTATGAGGTCTTATTTGATTTAAATAAACTTCTGAAACCTTATCAGAAGAGTCACAATTGTTAGAAAACAGTTAATGAAACTAATCCGAATTAATAAAAAAATTATTAATTCGAAACCCAAAAAATAATTTTAAATCTGAAAGTGCCCCAAGGCCCAAGGCCCATCTTTTTGACCATTAAATATTATATATTTTTATATAATATTCAAAGCCCAAATCATTTTTGAAGCCCAAATTGCTTTCACTTGGCCTACTTCCATTTATTAAGTGTGGCACTTCCACACTTATAAGAACCTCACTCTTTCTACTTTCTACCAATGTGGGACAAAGGTTCTTGAATTTCAGTCAAACTTCCAACAGATAGTGGGCCGATGACCCGTCTCTTTGAAATCTTAACATAGTATCAGAGTTAGGTTGGTTGACTAGGCCCGATTAAACCCAAATAAAAAACAAACTGAAATCAAACAAAAAAAAAACCCCAAATTGAATCAAAATCAAACAAAACCCAAATTTATTAAAATAAATAAATAAATAAATAAATAATAAAAAAGGTTGACTGATGTGGAATTAATTGCACGTGTGGTCCAATAAAAAGTGGTCCCACGTGAGGAGTATTGAAGAATACACGAGTCCCACATCGGAAACTTAACAAAATAGAAAGTCTCATATACTAAATGGTTCCACTCCTAATAACATCAAGGCCTTTTGTATAAGACCCCACACCTACTAAACAGGTGGTTAAGTTGGGGACGATATCAATGTTGCTAGTGGTGGGCCAAAAATCCGTCCCTCTGAAATCTTAACACTTGGGTCTCTTTGATTGGCCCAGATGTTTAGAAAAACACTTGAACCTTTTGGTATTATGTAGCCTCCATGGTGGTAGATTGAGTTACGCGACGTGGCACTAACAGGGGCAGTGCAGGTGGGCCAAGCTTGCCAGGGCAAGCTGCGGGTCCCACTTGACCGAGCCAACCCCCAGGTGGAACCAGCCTGAGATGGAGCCCAATGGCATCAGCCTTAACGTCCGCCAATGGTAACAAGCCATGTGGCGCGTTCTGGTCGCTCCGATCTTTTTAAATCCAACAACTGCCTTTTTTTTTGCTTAATAAATCTGGGAAAAAAAAATTCGAATTTTTTAAAAAAAAATTACCAAAAAATTATGGAATTTTTTTTCTATAAATACTTACTAATGTTGTTCACTTTCAACACCAAATCCTCATACATTTTCTTCTCCTATTATTTTTCACTTTCTACACAAAATTTTCTTCACTCTCAATTTTCATTTTTATTCACCATCTTATGACATCTTCCATCGAAGCCGGAGGAACGTGGACAACCATGGATGATGTTCTATTGTGTGAGTGTTGGGTCAAAGTCATTCATTGTCCGGTCACGGGCAATGAGATGAAATTCTGTGATATGTAGAAAAAAATTCATGCCGTATTTTGTGAAAGATCGGGTTCGACTCGTACGAAAATGGCCTTGGGTAGTAGATGGAAAATTTTGAATAAAGAGTTGGAGAAATAGAGAGATGAGTTGGCAAAAGCAAGGGACAACCATCGAAGCGGCAAAAATCTTGGCAATGATGTAAATTATTTGTAATTTCCGTTTTATTAAATTTAATGTCCTAATTATTTGTAATGTTTCTTGCATTTCCAATATTCTTTTTGCCTCCCAGAATTCAACTATCTGTATTCTAAGCCCTAGCACTCGGACTTAGAATCTGGCGAATGTTGTTTGTTTTCCTCTCAGACAAGATGAGATGCTTGTGAATGCTTTTTCTATATTGAACGTATGAGGTCTTATTTGATTTAAATAAACTTCTGAAACCTTATCAGAAGAGTCACAATTGTTAGAAAACAGTTAATGAAACTAATCCGAATTAATAAAAAAATTATTAATTCGAAACCCAAAAAATAATTTTAAATCTGAAAGTGCCCCAAGGCCCAAGGCCCATCTTTTTGACCATTAAATATTATATATTTTTATATAATATTCAAAGCCCAAATCATTTTTGAAGCCCAAATTGCTTTCACTTGGCCTACTTCCATTTATTAAGTGTGGCACTTCCACACTTATAAGAACCTCACTCTTTCTACTTTCTACCAATGTGGGACAAAGGTTCTTGAATTTCAGTCAAACTTCCAACAGATAGTGGGCCGATGACCCGTCTCTTTGAAATCTTAACATAGTATCAGAGTTAGGTTGGTTGACTAGGCCCGATTAAACCCAAATAAAAAACAAACTGAAATCAAACAAAAAAAAAACCCCAAATTGAATCAAAATCAAACAAAACCCAAATTTATTAAAATAAATAAATAAATAAATAAATAATAAAAAAGGTTGACTGATGTGGAATTAATTGCACGTGTGGTCCAATAAAAAGTGGTCCCACGTGAGGAGTATTGAAGAATACACGAGTCCCACATCGGAAACTTAACAAAATAGAAAGTCTCATATACTAAATGGTTCCACTCCTAATAACATCAAGGCCTTTTGTATAAGACCCCACACCTACTAAACAGGTGGTTAAGTTGGGGACGATATCAATGTTGCTAGTGGTGGGCCAAAAATCCGTCCCTCTGAAATCTTAACACTTGGGTCTCTTTGATTGGCCCAGATGTTTAGAAAAACACTTGAACCTTTTGGTATTATGTAGCCTCCATGGTGGTAGATTGAGTTACGCGACGTGGCACTAACAGGGGCAGTGCAGGTGGGCCAAGCTTGCCAGGGCAAGCTGCGGGTCCCACTTGACCGAGCCAACCCCCAGGTGGAACCAGCCTGAGATGGAGCCCAATGGCATCAGCCTTAACGTCCGCCAATGGTAACAAGCCATGTGGCGCGTTCTGGTCGCTCCGATCTTTTTAAATCCAACAACTGCCTTTTTTTTTGCTTAATAAATCTGGGAAAAAAAAATTCGAATTTTTTAAAAAAAAATTACCAAAAAATTATGGAATTTTTTTTCTATAAATACTTACTAATGTTGTTCACTTTCAACACCAAATCCTCATACATTTTCTTCTCCTATTATTTTTCACTTTCTACACAAAATTTTCTTCACTCTCAATTTTCATTTTTATTCACCATCTTATGACATCTTCCATCGAAGCCGGAGGAACGTGGACAACCATGGATGATGTTCTATTGTGTGAGTGTTGGGTCAAAGTCATTCATTGTCCGGTCACGGGCAATGAGATGAAATTCTGTGATATGTAGAAAAAAATTCATGCCGTATTTTGTGAAAGATCGGGTTCGACTCGTACGAAAATGGCCTTGGGTAGTAGATGGAAAATTTTGAATAAAGAGTTGGAGAAATAGAGAGATGAGTTGGCAAAAGCAAGGGACAACCATCGAAGCGGCAAAAATCTTGGCAATGATGTAAATTATTTGTAATTTCCGTTTTATTAAATTTAATGTCCTAATTATTTGTAATGTTTCTTGCATTTCCAATATTCTTTTTTTAATGTTTCTTGCATTTTGACTTTTTTTATTTTTTATTTATGTTTCTTGCATTTCCAATATTCTTTTTAATATTTCTTGCATTTGCAATATTTTTGTAATGTTACTTGCATTTCCAAAAAAAAATTAATAGATTATGCAAGCACAAATGTGGTTCGGTACCATTGGACAAGGCAAAAAATCTTTCAACCATCAACAATGTTGGGAGGTGGTGAAAAATTGCAAACAATTCAGAATTATTCCCACGGGTCCGACCGTTGTGTTGAACGAGACACCACTCTATAATTCAACAGCATCAGATTCACCTTTGGATTCCCCAGTGAGTCAAGACTCACCAATCCAAAAGGAGCTGAGGCCTATTGGTCGAAAGGAGGTGAAGGCGAAGAGATGGAGTACTTCCAGCAATGATATTGCAAAATTTTTGTAGCAAATTGCAAGGAATGGCACCATTATAATTGAATTAGACAAGAATAAAGATGCGGACGAAAAGACAATGAATGAAGAATATGCAAGAGAAAGAGAGTATGTACACAAACAAGACATTGAGAAGAAGGATGGGGAAACCATGGCCATGGATACAAGCCATATGTCCCCTGAAACAAAACAATTTTGGAAGCTAGAACAAATAGATGTTATGAGAAGAAGACTTTTCCGTGACGATGGACCTAACAACACCAATTGGTTAAATGATCAAAACCATTAAGTTAGTTTGATTGCCTTTTATTTAATTGTATTTTAATGTGTATTAAAGTAGTTGTAATTCTTGTCTTTTAT